CATAATTCAGGAAACTGTAACCATAAGATTACTTTAAGCACATTTTACCATTTAAGTAACTTATAATTTCAGTATAGAAAATAAGTAAATGTATAATTTATTGTAGATGGCTGCCCATCTCAGCAGTCTGTCTGTGAACAGAAGGCCTTATTCCATTCTAATAAAGCAGTGTTTCCAAACCTTGACAGCTTTCAGGGGTGTGGTCTCAAACCCCCAGAAACCCCCAGCCAGCCTTGCTGGCTGGGGAATTCTGGGAGTTGAAGTCCACACCTCTGAAAGCTGTCAAGGTTGAGAAACACTGCTTTAGAAGAATGGAATAAGGCCTTCTGTTCACAGACAGACTGCTGAGATGGGCAGCCATCTACAATAAATTATACATTTACTTATTTTCTATACTGAAATTATAAGTTACTTAAATGGTAAAATGTGCTTAAAGTAATCTTATGGTTACAGTTTCCTGAATTATGGCAGAATTACAGTTCAGTACAGGTGTTACAGAGATAGATTAAACCCTTGCATATTTTCAGCTTTTCCTTCTGCCTTCCATTTAATGAGCAGTTTTTCCATTTGTGTTTATAGGCACGTCCCTGATATGGAACTCATGAAGAAGTCTGCTCCTTTAAAAATTCCGTATGTTCAGTGGAGCACAGATGGCATTTAAGAGCCCTAAATTATGAAGGAAAATATTAAGGAAATTCTTGTCATTTTTTTCCTCCTAGATCTACATTTTCCTAAAAAGCACTACCTTACTTCGTATTAGCTGTTTCTTTGAAGTTGTGATGTTTAGTTTCCTTAGATCCCATGGAATGAGAACTTGGCATTCTGCTGGGGTATGTATTAGAAGCTAAAGAAAAGCCATCCTGAGCAGGATATGTTTGACAACATGAACATTCAGGAAAAATCCGTTCTTGGGGTTTTAACTCTTTTTTGCACTGGTTGTTTTTAAAAGTAAACTTTTCCTCTGAAAATGTATTTTCTTTCTTTTGCTGTAAAGTATCTTCTTTATCTTCCAGTGCACGAGCAAGCATATAACTAACCTTCCTTTGATGAGCCAAAATCTCCTCCTTATCATTCAGCTATATCAACAAGAAAGAAATTAAGAAATATTGCAGTCAAACAGGCAGTATATACATATATTTGTTCAGACATATATAATACTATTAATATAGCCTCTGAAATCATGTAAGAGATACCAACCAGGTCTATTAGCATCCTAATGATCTCCAGTGGATTATCCAGTTCTTCTACTGTCTTACTATCGGTGCCAGAAGCAAGCATGCCCATCAGCTTTTCTCCCAGACTTTTTCTTTTTTCTTGAAACAAGGAAACACCAGGAAAAAAGGTGGGGGGTGGATATGGTATCACATTAAAAAAAAAATCTAATTAGGTATTGAAAAGTTTATATATATATATTTATTAATTTATATGACTGCCCATCTCACCAGTGTGACTGTAGATGGCTAACATGGATTAAAATACAATATAAATACAATATATATTTAAAAGAAGAAATACTGTTCCCAATCAACTGACACATAGTGGCTCCTGAAAATACCTTTCACCAATAGTGTGGGCTCAATTACTTCCTGGCCCCCATGCCTGGGAAATTCAAGGATTTCCAAAAGCTGAGCAGAGTTGGGTCCAGCTGAGCCACAGGTAGTACAGTGTTTCAGAGGGCAGCTCCTGAAAAGGCGTGCTTCCTGAGCTGCCCTAGATGAGAACCCCTAATAGAAGGGACCCAGAGCGTGCCCTCCTGCCTGACCTATTGGGATGGGTAGAAACAATGGCAGAAAGGCAGTCCTCAAATACCCTAGCCCCATGGCATGTACTGTAGGGCTTTACAGGTAATAACCAGCATCTTGAATTGCCCTTGGAAGGAAACTGGAAGCCAGCGCAGCTTGCAAAGCAAAGGTGTAATAGGGGCATAGTGAGGCACACCCATAACTGCCCATGCTGGTGTATTCTGGACCAATTGAACTTTCCAGGTGTTCTTCAAGGGCAGCCCCATGTAAAACACATTGCAGTAATCTACTCAGGAAGTTAACAAAGCATAGTCCAAATTCCAAATAAAATTGAAACTACCATAATTTATATCATTAAAGATGGTATATATCTCACATATAGTTTTCAAAAGTACCTTTCATTTTTGTGATTATTATATTTTTAATACTCCAAATAAAAATCAGAAAATACATTTCAAAGAGCAGGGCAATATTTCTGCATGCTTAAGAAATGCATATACCTCTTATATTCAGAGGTATATAAGATGAAGACAATATGTCTAGATCTTAGAAAAATTATTGAATTGTTTAAGAATAACAATTTATTGTATGCATTTGTTGCTAACTGTTCACAGACTCCTTTACAAAGCTTACAAAAAGAAAGAGAGAAAATAAAATCTATGAAAATAATTATCACAGTACTTTATCTTTGCAAGCAACCATCTCTAGAAAAATTAAAGTTACTGGAAAAAAAAGAACCTGGAGGTTAAAAAGCATAAAATGTACATAAACTGAGAACAGGATCTACACAAAACAACCTCCCCACGTTAATTAAATAGCAGTGAATCATTTAAAAAATGTCTTAAGAAACCAACTATGGGATTACACATTTCATAATATGTAACTTTACAATATTCTCATAGACTACCAAGTAGAAGTTATGCATATGTGTGAAAATGCTTCCCTCTGTGCTTTTAATTTGAACTGTTGTAAAATGTATTTTAGCAGTAGCTCTTTGGCCTATAGTTATGTTTCACCTTTTCCATAATCTTGGAATGATTATGATCTCTCCACACAGCCGTTTGCTCCAGATTATAAATGTTATACTGAACAAATCTTGGAAGATAATATTGCAATATATTTATCACTTCTAATATAGTTTTAGAACTTGGCCAGCTAATCTGTTTGGTACAATACTGAGTTAATCCTCTCTAGGAATTCTGTAGTCTATCCTGATATGATTAATTAAGTTTAATGTGCTAAAAAAAATCAGAGACAAACAAAAAAAATACATTTAGATACCAACAATATAAAAATTGTCTAAATAAATCTATTTGTGAATCCAATTTTTGCAAATATTAACTTTTGCTATGCAAAAATTGTGACATTATAGGTAAAAAAAATTTCTTTATTTGATAAAAGAAAGTCAGTATAATATTAGTCCAACTGACATGGGATGTCTAACCATGAGGGAAAGATGAAGCTTCATCAGCTGTCATTACAAAAGAAATATTGTAGCAATACATGAACAATGGATTCAACAGTGCCTGAGCCACAAGGTCAAGTTTGACAAGCTACAAGGACTTTGTTAAACTTGTCATATAGAAATACTGAGCATAAGATGTTAAACCTGGCTTTAAAGAAGAATCTTTGTTGAAAGAGTGCATAGTGAAGGAAGTGATATAATGTCATCTAGGATGTTCTGATAGGCTTTGCGATCAGGCTAGTCTCATTTTGATACTCCTTATCCAAACGCTTTTCTCTGATTATTTTCTTAGCCTAAGTAAATTCTAAGAAATGTACAAAGTCTACAGACAGGGCACAATAATGGTTTTTCCAAAACTGCATGAAGGATGAAAATTTGTCAGACAAGAAGAGAAGTCAGCCTTGAAGGGAAATAAAGGCATTTACTTCAAACTAATCTCTCAGCTGCATGGCATACACATTTTGGTCACTGTTATTAACTTGCATTGTATCCAGTTACTTATATTTAGGATAAGGACTCATCTGTGAACCCTAGAGCAACTGATCTAAACATCTAATGGCAAATAATTTTGAAGCTGCAGGAATTTTTTTCTCTGCTTCTCCCCCCCCCCCCCTTTTTCTGCTTTTTTGTGGAAGATTTGAGAATATCCAGTTACTTATATTTAGGATAAGGACTCATCTGTGAACCCTAGAGCAACTGATCTAAACATCTAATGGCAAATAATTTTGAAGCTGCAGGAATTTTTTTCTCTGCTTCCCCCCCCCCCCCCTTTTTCTGCTTTTTTGTGGAAGATTTGAGAATTGCTTAAGAGCTTCCTTGAGCCTGTGATATCACAAAGTATATGTGCTTTCCATGACCCTGAATCCTGGAATACTACAGCAATATATTTAAAACTACTCGTTCAGTCTCCTATCCTCCTATAATCTAATTCCATTTCTTAGGATTTTTTGGTCTTGCCATCATTGGTCTTGATTACCGGTTGCATTGCCCTACAGTATTGGACTAAGCTTTTGAGAACTTGCCTGAGTCCAACTGGAGTCTTCAAAATAATTGCTATATTTTTTGCATACAGCAAGACTGGGACAATCATATCCATTATTTTGGGCAGATGGTGGCTGAAATATGAGTTTCCTTGCAAATCAGTTTGTATATAAATTGAGCAAGGAAGGAGCCATCTTGATGAAATCAAGACATTCTTAATCACTTACATCAGGGTTGTTAATCTTTTTGTGCCATGGACCCCTTTGAGATTCTTGTGAAATCTATGGACCCCTTCTCAGCTAAATTTCAGTTACAGGTTAGTGAAAATAAAGGTGTATTTTTTTCCCATCCAAGTTGACAAACCTCCTGAAATCTATCACCAAGTTAAGAACCCGACTTAGATGAAGCTTTTGAGCACCATCTCTCCCTCTCCAGATGCATGCTATATTCTTAAACATATTCCCAATCCTATTATCTGCCTAACAGGAAGCTATGAGTCAACCTGAATGGGAGTATAGGGCATGATTTACTTTTTAATCATCCACAATCCAAAACAAAGGCCTAAAAAATTCTTCCATGGCCCTGTTGATGCCATTACTTGCCATATCTATTGCAGCACTTAGGGCTAGACAAAAAATTGTAGCGCAGCTCCATGGCAAAAAAGGTTGCTATTCCAACACTAATGCTAGAGAATGACAGCTGACATTCACAACTCTAAGGCACACCCTGATAACTAATCGACAGGTTGGCCATGCTATCTCAATTGATTAACTGTCTTTTGAGGCGATTATTAAAGTTATATCTCTGCTATTCTGTCCAACAAATCAGTCATTAGTAGATCCTTTAATAATCAGATGCCATAAATATGTGAATCAGCTCTAAGCTCTCTTGGTAGGACTATGTCACCCTGTTGTTGCTGTATTCAGTAGAGTGAACACTAATACATACTTATTTCTAAGATTGCCTTGGAAAGGTTTTTGTCATAAAAAAATGAAAATTGGTGATAGTTACATGAATCCTTTGGATAATGAAGGGATTTTTTTCAACAAAAGTTTAAATGCTAAACAATATTGCCAATACCAAGTTATTTTCACTGAAAAATATGTATAATGGAAAGAATTACCATATTCTTTGGTGCTTTTCCACTTTGCTGTTTTAGTTTCTTTTCTGCAGATCTTACTCATCTGTGCAAGCCTGAAAGCCTGGTCCTTCCTCCGCATCAGCTGCTGCTCAAAAGCTATTCTGAAGGCATCTGCCATTATATAAGCTTCTTCTTTACTCTTCTTCAGAAGTTCAAACTGTTATTTTTTTTCAATTAAGATAAGTTTTAGATTGCATTTTTTAAAATAAGAATGAAATCCACATGTCTATGCTTACAATAAAGTTATTGCTTCCTCAGCTTAAGCAGAAATCCACATAGAATTTGACTATAATTTCCCCAAAGAATTACATTTTTTAAAAAAAGCTGTTGACAATACAGAGGAGACAAGGTCATTTTTTGCCTTGCAATGTGAATTAATAGTAGAAAGCAGAGTTTCTACAAACATGAATATCACTTACTAATCCTCCCATAAGAACCTCTTCATGGGCAACATGTTTAAAAAAGCTTTCTTTCCCCTCTAGAACAGAATCAAGAACACAAAGATTTGCTGGCTATTCAAATTGAGTTACCTACTAAATCTAATGAATGTCTATGCACCCTGATCTTCAGTTCTATTCTCTGTTGATTAATCAAGCTGGAGTTGATGGATATATATATTTCATTATATGACCAGGTGTAGAGCTAAAACAACTTGGTGGAGTAAAGGGGGAGCAAAGCAAAGGACATTATTAGGGAAACAAAGATTTGGATATATACTACGTACTTATAAAATTATTATTTTGTTGATCTTCTTAATGATGCTGAATACATTTTAGGGCTAAGAAACCATTTTTTCTACATATCAAGTACATTTGACAACTCTCTAACTCCAAATCCTACCAACAGCAATGATAGTCAAATCCCTGAGCTAATCCTTTATCTTCTACTGCATTTCCTAAGACACAGAATCTGCTTTTCTTTGAGGCATTTCATTTCACATATCTGTACTTGTCACTGATTATTTATTCAGAAAACAGGCAAAATGCTTCTTAAAAGCTATTGAATTAGTTCAAACTTTCTAGTCTACTTCTCATGTCATTTTTTCCCCTTTCTTTTCAGAACTATATGGCAGGAGACTATGGTACAGGAAGAGATATAAATCTGCAGGAGAGGTGTCCCAATACTTCCCACAGACCAGTGTTTCTGAACCTTGGGAACTTTAAGATGTGTGGACTTCAACTCCCAGAATTCCCCAGCCAGCCAACTTCGGTCCATACATCTTAAAAGTTCCCAAAGTTCAGAAACACTGACATAGACAGTGTCACTCAGCCCACCTTACGGAAAGGATTGAAGGTAAGCAAGGGGCTGATTGCTGAGAGGGTAAATACGTTTCCTATAAAACTAGTTGAACTGGCTTCTGCTAGCAGCTTTCTGAGTGGATGAAAGTTTCTTAACATAATTTGTTTGAACTATGGAACTGTGGCTGTATTAACTGATACTAATTCTGTTGGGTGACTGGGGAAACATAAGTTTGAGCAAAGAGTATCTTTTAGCCTGAAAGAGGGCTAAAAAGTAGATGTGCAAAGAAAGAAGGAGATGTATTGGTAAGATGAATGGAAATCTGTTATATTGGGATGAGGACAGAGTAGCTCACTATCAGAACTCAACATGTTACATTTTCATGGGTCACCTCCATCTAAAACAAAGTTTGAAAAATATATTTAAATACGTAGACCTGCCATTATTTATATATCTATTCTACTTGCAGTTTGAAGCATCTGTCAGTAAATGAAAAAGAAAAGAAAAACATATTGATATAACAGCTGCCTAAGTATTGTATTTTTACAACAGCAACATTTGACATTATTTCTCACATGGCAAGGCTTCACACCTGACATGTTAGCAAAATAGTGCTTTTAACTGAAGCTCAAATACCTCTTGCTTGAGTTGAAGAAGCTGCTTTCGAGTTGCTGCTGACATCTTGGCACAGGAACAGGGTTCTCCTTCGGGGCCATTGCAAGCGCAGGCTCCAAGTACTGCCAACTTCCAATTCAAATGAATTCCAGCAGTTATTTTAAAATCCAGCTCACTGACAAATACAGGCTGGTTCACATGCTTAGCTATAACACGATTATTTGGAGCTTAACAGGAAATACAAATAGTCTATCGTGACTTTGCATGAATTAATCAGTGTGGTTGTTCAAAAATCCATGGTTATGCATTCCTGGTGTCCCTCCTTAGCTTTCTTTGTAAGACAGGACACTAAGTTTTATTTAAGTGTAATGGCATTTCTTTATGATCAGATTGGACTGCATCCTGAAGAGCTCTTTCATGCTTGGCACGGTTTTCTGTTGCAGAAGAAACCTTTAAATTGATTACTCCAGGTCACGCTAAGTCACATCTTAGTGAAATATGGGGTAACATCTTTCAGTTCCATTTTCTTCCACCTAACTTCTCTTACAGCTCAAAAGAGGAATTCAGTGGTTTCTGTTTTTGATTAACAATAACCAGCTATATTATCTGGATGACAATTCTGGATACATGTGATACAATAAGTCTCAGTTAATCTTCAATCTCCTGCTACCAGCCACATGGGAGAAGATAAGAAGATCCCAAGGCTCATTAGTGCACATGTCTGCTTCTTCATAATACATAAAAAGAGAACCACAATTACTAGCTTCTCAATTCATGATGTGCACTGAAAAGCTCATGTCAAAATAAATCTACTTCTTTTTTTAAACATTCTTGCTCTTAATACAGTTGTTCTGGAATGATTCATAAGATGTTAGCAAAAGAAATAAGACCATTTTAAAATACATACTTCAAGACCTGTAACCTCAGTAACGCCACTCTTGCTAAGAGACATATTATCTTGAACAAACTTTTGCTGTTTTACATCAAGCATCGCAATCATCTCCAAATGCTGTTGCTCTAAAACTGAAAAAGGTTGAGAAAAAAAGTTTGCTTGTGGCTTACATGGCATATCTGAAATAAAAATCCAAAAATAGAACTTTAATTTGTCTAGAGGCTGCATTTTCTGACTTGAAAATATCCTTATTTTGTAAAGCTGGATGAGGACACACAAGGAGGGAAACATTGTTTGTGTTATGATTGCACATCATGGATAGAGCATAGACATTATTCAGTTAAGCCTTTTCTTATAAAAGGCAATATTATCAATGTACACTATGAGAGCCAGTACTGCATAATGGTTATAGCCTAAGACTAGGATTAGGGTTAGGGTTAGGGTTAGGTTAGGTTAGTTTCATCTTGTGAAACTAGATGGTGTGTGGTGGGAACAAAACTATCTCTTTGCCTTCTAGTAAATCAGGAGTGGGGGGGTTACTAGTCTTGCCCACCATGGCACTTCTTTTGTGGAAGTGTCCAAAGCATGATAACAGAATTCCAAATTTGCTTACTGCCTCAAAAAAGCTATGACCCTTCTGGATAATAGTTCTACTTGCTTGTTAAGTCACAGGCTTTCCTTCAAATAACTATCTGAAAATGATTTCAGAATGGCATAATTACTAGAGACTTGGATAGGTCTGTGGAGACTCAATGTCTAATCCATACTTAGCCATGAAATTTATTGGGGTACTTTGGCCCAAATACTACCTCTCTGTGTAATGTAACTTTCAAGATAATTCCTATGAGAATAAAATTGAAAGAAGAGTATTATGTATACTGCACTGAGCTCCTTGAAGCAAAGGTGGGATATAAATGCAAACAAAGAGATTAATACTAAATGGTATTTTTCTCCAATAAATAAAAAGTTATGTTAATGAAATATAAACAGTAGGGCATAGTTTCGGGTAAGAATGCATCAGATTTTAATCTTCTAACATTGTATTATACGATATGCCTTGATTTTCTTCAAAAGCAACATGACAGTATTACATATTGTACTGAGCATTCATCTATGACTCGTCTACCATTGGAACATCTCTGAATTAAAAACTTGAGCCAAACATGCTTCAAGTGTTTAGCAGAGCACAATAGTAACCTGGACATAGACTTCTCAATACTTTTTTTAGATGTTCACCACCTACATCATCTAAGCCAAGCAATTCACATTTTAAAAAAGAAAACACTGAGAAAGCAGAGGTTACTTACGTTGATTTTCAGACTTTAGTAGTTTAATTTCTTCAGTTTTCAATTTAAGTGTTTCTTTAAATGCAGCATTTTCACAATAAATTCTGTTGACATGGGAAATAACATATTTCAGTCATACCTTTAATATGCTTTCTGCCTAGTGGATGATTAAAAGAACATACTTTAATTTACCTCTCATATTTCTCTGCCCAGGTCTCGTCTACATTTTTTAATTTCTCCTGATTAATTCTGATCTCCCACTGCAGAACATTTATTTCCTATAAACATAAAAGATTTTTTTTCATATTTTAAACATTACATTGTTAGTGAAACTGGATTCAGTTACCTCAAATATATATTCTTTAGAATCATGATATTGCTTTTGCTTTGCAAGAAAAGAATACAAATGCACAATGGAAGATATTGGAATGTTTTACTATAGCCAGTTGCCTGGCAGAACAAGCAAACTGCAAAAGAATTTCTAAGTAATTCTGGTTATCAATAGAAGAGAATATACCTTGCATAGATGAAACCCCACTCCCTTCTAGCACTGAAGATATTACCTAGTTGGGTAACGAAACATCTGCAACAAATCCACCAAGCACAGAGAACACCAAGGACTCCACTATTCTGGTTATATGCTCACTTTTCTCCCCACTATGATTCCTAAGGCAATCTAGGATTGTGGTTTAAATTACCTAAACTTTTTGGCAATTCCTTAAAAATATTACACTATTCAATATTTAAAATTACTGAATCCAGGCACTTCCACACCACTACTTCTCATCTAAATCCTTCCAAAGTGACAATCTTTGCATCTGCCAACTGTAAAATCTGTGAATTTTCAGTGTTCATCACAATCCTATCTGTGTCCTGTCCAGCTCATCAAAAATATAATTAAATCAGCACCAAATCTGCTGCCAGTTTTTGAGTAACAAAAATCCTCTCAGATCCCAACTCTATAAAAAAAGGAAATAAAATAAGTTACTAACTTCCCCCTAGCTTCATGTGTAGTTCATGTTGCATGCATTTGTCTGGATCTTTGCAAAAGGTTTTGAGCAGTTGCTATGAAGGGAAGCTTCCAACCACAAAATTGGTCTTCCTCTAGCATTTAAGAGTCTCTTGTGAGCTGTGATGGTGAAATTATAGTATGTTAGTTATTTTCCAACTCGCATTTTCTGTGGCACACTTCTGTGAAGGCTAGAATGGGGAAATGAAGAGATGCATTTAAGCAGACACCAAGAAAAACTGATGGGTGTCCAGGAGCAAAAGTTCCTGTCAATAGGAAAATAGACCACCTACAAACTGAGGAGATGAATGCTGTAAAGAAAAACAGTAGTTTTCCTCCAGTTTCAAGTAAACTGCAACAGACCCAGAAAAAAAAAGTCTCCACTCTCAGAGCCAGCTGACTTTGTGTCACAGCTGGTTCCAAACTAGTGTCAAATTCACATGTGGAGGTTGCCTCAGTAACTGTAGTTAATTATGACAAAAGACAAAAATATTTAGTAAAAAAATGTTTCTATTTTTTGTTTCTATTAAAGAACAAATGCATCCTATGGATTCACATTGTCATGCAACCAATTAACCTCATGGGCTGACAAACCAAATCTCTCATATACGAACTTAAACTGCATTATCATGTATTTTACTGGGGGGGAAAGAGCTGTGGGGAAGTGTTTCTTTGGGTTTGGAGAATTATCTACACTTATCCTTGGGCTGTTCCTCACAGCTACAATAATGTGCTTTCTTCCTGCCCTTGAGTTAGGAGGAAACCATGTTGAGGTAAAATGCGCTGCCCCCACAGCCTACCTTTACTACACCTCAGCAGCCAGGTTGGTCAATGTTACTGCCTTCTTCCACTGTAATGCAGGATCCTTTTTAGGCAGAAACTGCTGGATTCATAGCCATCCTTTCCTCTCCTACTCAGTGTCACCTACCAGCAGGAAAACCAACCACCAACTGCTGTCCTGAATGTGTAGCAATGCAGAGTTTGGTGTTCCAACTGTCATTTTTATTATCAGACTGATAACAAAGAACTATAGGCTTCTAACATTTGTTCTCTAAGCCTAGTAATCCCCCAGCTTTGCTTTCTCCTGGGCCCCAGGAAAGGGACCATTGTGCTCTGGTGCTTACAGGGTCTACCTCTAAAGAAACCCCCTGGCTTGCTCTGCTGAGATGGGGTTGCCATTCAACAAAGCTTATGCCATACCCCTGGCTGTTTGTGATGGAAGTCAGGTCATTGCCTCTGGCTGATGCTGGACTGATCAACTCTTCTAGATGACTAACAACATAGGGCATTCAACTGTTATCTGAGAATTCATGGCCCCTGCACCCGAGTCAGCTCAATAACTTGTCTATGTGCCAACACTATGTGTCCTGAGCTTGCTAGATCTCAGCTGGTGAACCTCCCAGAGATCTAGCAAGCCGATCAAATCTAGCAAGCTGATCAAGTTTCTGATTTTTTTCAAGTAGTTGGATACACATAATTTCCCTTCCTACATTTGCCAGTCCTCCAGAATCCTTTAAAGGGCAAAAGCTTAGTAATGAGAATATTCATCACTTGGATCTCTTCCATGAGATCTATATTCCCATGTCCAAAGACCCCAGAAGAAACATTAGTCTGCTCAAGTGAGATGTCCAGTCTTTCTCACTGCCACAGTCAAAATGCTCCTGGAGGTACAGAGTCCAGCAGCTGCAAAGGAGAGGCAGCCGCACAACAGACCTGCCATAACTGGAGCTGAGCAGATGGCTGGTCCTGAACATGTCCTCCAAAGGCTCCTCCTCCACATACCTAGAATCTCTGCATCAGAGGTCTCAGGTTGAGGTAATAGGGAAGACACTACTTTCACGCTAGAACACTTTAGGTTGTTTCAACAGCATGCCAACTATGAGATGGAGACTATGTCATGAGCACATATCCTCAACAAATGGTTAGTGGGGTTCATGCTGTGGTAAGCTGGATGGGTTGATGAGCCCTCTGTTTCTGAAGTCCATCGAAGTATATAAATACAAAGATCTGGACCATAACATGTAAAAATGGAACATAGTTCTCTGATGCCCCCTAAAGTTCATCAGAACATTCAGTGGAGCCAACTGCTTCAGAAGAGTACCAGCCCACTGAAAAAAATGGTCTTAAGCATGGCTAAACTGTGTTGGTTTGTAATTCAGTGCTACACCGTCATGCAGCACCACATTCCAACTCTTTTTCTCCTTTGTCAGGGACAGTATAAGATACATTCTTACCTTTTCTAAAGATCGTCTTTGTTGCTCTGTTTTTATAAATACTGCTTTAGTATGACTAGTAGCTTTGTCCAAAACAGCCTGAGAAATATATAAAACAAAAAGTGGAAATATTCCATATCACAGATCATCTTAAATTTGAAATCAGTGCTTATAGATTAAGACAATCAACAAAAGCTGCTGCTCTACAATAGAACGATAATGTACATTAAAAAAAAAAGAATCAAAATGTGGTACTGCAAGTGCAATATCACAAGCTATATAAAGAGCAAAAATACAATTCTTGTTTTGAAATAAAAAGTGTTATCTAGCAGAAAAAAGAAAACTAAATGCTGGTAATTTGGGGGGGGGAGGGGTGCCAAGGAGATCCTAAAAACGAAAATATATCAAAAAAAAAAGGGATATCACTAATCTGTCTTCTGGCAAATGTGTGCTTTGTGACTATCTATGCCTGCCTGTGACAGTCATTTTGTGAGAGCAGCAAGACACGTGCCCAAAATTCCAGATGTCTTCACTGCTCCCAAAAGGTTGCCTACTCAGCTCCCACATCAGGGTTTTTCAAACTGTATTCTGCCAAACCCACAGAGTGTTCTGTGAGAACCTGATGAGGTTCTATAAGAGACTACGAGCCAAAAAAAAAAAAAGTTCACTCAAACACAGTTCCAGAAGAACCCACAGAGTGTTCTGTGAGAACCTGATGAGGTTCTATAAGAGACTACGAGCCAAAAAAAAAAAAAGTTCACTCAAACACAGTTCCAGAAGAACCCACAGAGTGTTCTGTGAGAACCTGATGAGGTTCTATAAGAGACTACGAGCCAAAAAAAAAAAAAGTTCACTCAAACACAGTTCCAGAAGTGTTCAGAACAATTTTTCTAAGGTATGGTGGAAAAGGCACTGGGGGTGGGGGTTATTTCTCTGTCTGAGAGACAGTTTCCACAGTTTAAAAAGCTTGAAATCACCTGTTCTACATAACAGATCCTCAACTCATTACTGAAACACCAACAGATCTTCCATTGCTCAATAACTGTCAAGTCTATCGTAATACCCTAATGCTACACATAAACCCAAATAAGGCTAAAAAGATACGGCTTAAATTAAACATAGATGAAGCAAGCATTAGGGAGAATCCACTCCTTTATGTGCACTTCTGTCTACAAGGTACATGGATATGGGTGAATCATACATATAACATTTAAGCTTATATAATTTAGACATAATATACAGTACTGAAAATGTATAATGTTACCTTTTCATCCTCATATAAAGAAAATAAACTATAATGTACTGTTAGTATTACATGTTAGTTATAAATGCTAACCTAGCTGTTACATTTTAAACTTTTATTTAAGTTACCATGCTCTGCAGAATTTTTAAAGCTTGCTCTTTGCCTTCAAGTTGTCTTTGAGATGCTTCCAATTCCACTCTTAAAATTTCTACTTCCTAGAAAAAAAATTAAAAAGGTTAAACAAAACTTTAGATATAAAGTATGCAGTCCCTTACAATTGTGGAAGATACTTTTGATTGTGGAAGTTGAGGGATTTAACTTTTATTAATTAAAGGTTATACTGCTGCAATCATTACTACTTTCAGTGGTATAAAAGATAAAGCATCCTCTGCTTATAATCACAAATACAATCACAAAATCAAGAATCATAAAAATCCCAAAAGACAACAGTACATAGCATTCCTATGGTGTTATCTAACTAGCGAAACCCTAGAAGGGTAGGGTTAAAGAATTCTCCTTTAACTTTCTCCTGGAAGATCAACAGAATTGGATCAAGTCTTCTTTCCTAGGGAAAGCTATTCCAAAATGTGGTGCCTATAGCAGGAAAACACTTTCTCCTAGCCTCTGCCTCTGCTCAATTAATTTTTTGTAGTGGAGAATTACAAGTATTTTTTCCAGTGATGTTCATATCATACAAGTTTATTCTAGATGAAATAGGTGCTTGAAAGTACCTCAGTACCAAGCCAGTTGAGTTAAAAAATAGCAAATTGCATTCTGAAACCCTTAGGTATCCAGTGCAGGTCCTGGAGTGCAGATGTAAAATGTTCCTGGCATCTCATGCCACTCAGAACATAGTTGGTAGCATTTTGTACCAACTGCAGTTTCTGGGTAACATTTAAAGGCAGCCCAATGTCAGGGCATTGCAGTAGTCCAAACAAGCAGCAACGAGAATAAGAGTTATTGCTATCCGATCCTCCATTCAAGTTAAGGTGTACCAGCTACAGCTGTGCAAAGGCCTTTGGGGTCATGACCTCTATCTGCCTATTCAGTATTAGCTCTGAGTCCAGAAGGATCTCCAAGGTACAGATCTGTTCACCTAGGGGCAGTGCCACCACTTCAAAAGACATTACCAGAGCCAATGGAGAACCTCAACAGACAAACAGAAACTCCATCTTGTTTGGGTTTAACTTCACCCTGTTTGGCTTTTCCCCAAAGCCTCCAGATACTGGGACAGGACTTAAACAATATCACTGGAGCAACCAGGGATGGCAATGCAAGTTGGATTTCACCAGCATATTGATGATTTTGTCACCCAAACTGACAGATGACCTATCTCAGTGGCTTCATATAGAGGTTAAAAAACAGGGAGGACAGAATCAATCTTGTAGTCACTGAACCAGTCTCTCTTGCCTCCCAAACACCAATTAGAACCATCTATTGAGGAAGGATTGGAACCACTTAAACTTACTGCTCCCAATTCTTAATCCCCACAGCCAGCCCAGGAGAAGACCATACTCAATGGCACTGAATGCCACCAAGAAGTTAATAAGAATATAACTCCTGCCATATAGGTTTCATTAAAGTTCATCAACCAGTGCAATCAATGGAGTTTCCATCTCATTCCTGGACCTGAACCCTGACTGAAAAGGGTCCAGTTAATCCACCTCCTCTAGAATGCCCTGTAGTTGCCTCCCTACCATAGCCTCAACAACCTTCCCTAAAAAGGAAAGGTTGGAGACATCACAATAGTTGTCAGTCCATTAGATCTAGGTAACATTTCTTAAGGAGGGGAAGTACTACGTCTCCCTTTAACACTGTAGGAAACACCCCCTTTCACAATGATGTGCTGATCATCTCCCTGATCTGGGTAACTATGCTCCCTCCTGATCTCCCCATAAGTCAGGAGAAGGGATTATACAGCCTGTTTCATAGGAATCCACAGGACTAATCCACAGGACTAAAAGTAGTGCCAGATAACATTGCAAGACAGCATTCCAGCCCCCACCATAGACTCCGACTGTGAAAAGTCAAGACTTCAGTGAATCTCAGTGGCTTTGTTGGCAAAATGCTACACAAAATGGTCACAAATACTAGGTAGGAGGTCTACAACTCCCTTCCCAATATGGAGTTCACTGAATAAATAATGCTTGATAGCCTGCTGATGCAGTAAGGAAGGAGAAGTTAGAATGCTTTGTCTCTCCTACCCTCATGATATAAGCTCAAAGTGACCAAAGTGCTCAATCAGTTTCATATTTAGGTTTCCTTCACCAGCAGTCCAGGTGTTTTTTTTCCAGCCAATTCATCTCCTGAAGCTCCTTAATAAACCAATGAGCCAACCAGGATTGGTAAGCAGAAAAAGAAAGAACTGTATGAATAGCCTGGCTCACCTCTTCCTGTTGTCAGTGGCTATCTAGGCATTCAAGGGAACTACCTACCAGATTGTTAGGAAATTCCTCAAATCCTTAGCAAAATCCTTTGGGCTCCATAAGATGTCTGGAACAGTAGTTTTAATTCACCTTATGACTGGCCCTAATCTTATCCAGACCAGGAAGTGGCCTGACCACAACAACGGGTCAGAAGTTACACCCTTCATATCAATCTCACTAAACAAATGCTCTGAGAACACACGGTTTAATGGATGATAGCCTCCATTTGTTGGGCCCAAGACTTGTGAGGCACTCCCATGGTCTCCATGAACTCCTGAGTTCTTCCAGACCCAACCCAAGAGTCTTAAGACTGAATTCACCCACCATTGCCAGGTGAGGAGATTCCAATACCAGCCCTGAGATAAAATCTAGGAGCTCAGGAGGGATTCTGCTGGGCAGCAGGTTGGCTTGTACATTAACAAGATTCCCAGTTTGATGAACAGACAGTCATACTTAGTCATCTCAGGAACAAAAAACCTGCTCACAAGTAAAATTAGTGCCATCCTGCCTTGGTGTCAAAGGCCTAGAGGGCAGATTTATGACGGAGCAATGTTAGGGCCCTCACCTAAATAGTTTTCAGTAATACACACACCAGGTACATCTACTCATTCTCTGAAGATTATAGATGAGTATAGTTTTGTTACAGATGCCCCTGGCATTTACCATCACAAACCTGAGGTGAAATTTACCAAAGGTTTCTGTCACAAGTTTCACCTCAAACTGTAACTTATTTATACCTCACACCATTCAGAGTGTTTACTTGGCTTGAAGAGTGCTTTTTGAAACATTCCTCAAAATACCGTGCTAGAAAGAAGCTAGGAAGAAAGAGTACATAAAAAGCATTTGATTTATAGAATCCTACTAATTAAGCATTCAAGGTTTTGTGACCCATTCTTAGGCCCCCAATCAAAGAAAACATTTTGGATGCCACTTCATGTTCAACCATGCTATGAGCAAATACAAAAGCCTTCTTTGAAACACATTGTTCCCCTTTAAGCTTGAATTTCTTTTGGAGTTTTACATTCACAGTATACATTCTTAAACCCTGAGTAAAAGAATATATTGGCAAATATAACATTTTTACAGACTGAACTTAAATCAGATCAAGAGCAATAATTCAGTTATAGCAAATGAAGCAGTAACAACGCTTTATAAAGAGCAAAAATATTTAAAATACCTGACACAAAGGCCAGGAATTTTAATCCATTATCACATGTAACAGAATACAGCACTGGTGATACATTCAATTTTTTTATTCTGAAATCTTTTTTCTATGCCGGAATAATATGTCAAACAGAAATAAACAGAAATCTCCTTAAAATGAATTTAAGGGGATTTATATATATTTTAAAGATACCAAGTTGATGTTGACGTTGACACCGGGATGAAGTTTCCCACTGCATTAGCAGTGAAGTTGGAAGTTCATCCTGACCACTTTCAGGCCATTCTGGTTCAAAGACCAATTATGGACTTCAATCTTTTGGCAATCAAATATATTAAAACAGATACTTTCATGTATTTTCTATTCATTAGCTGTTATTGAATCAAAGTGGCTTCTTATAGTCCTCTAAAATGGTCAGTTCCTGAGTGGATCCATAAATCTAGTCCTAAACCATATCTAAAAAATATTTATCTATGACATTTTGTTATACAAGAATCTTCTTTGTAGACCACCAGTACCCAGAACACAGGAGCTTTTCCTCCTCAAAAAAGGCTGAAATGAAAAAAGCAACTATAGCCTGTGGATTCTGGTTGAAATTGTAAACAACCCTGAGACTTTGGAGATAGGCTGGGACACTTGTATAACTCCTTTCATAAAGCAGTTGGGGGGAGGAAGTAGAAGGAAAATTAAAGGAATTTTTCTCCTTAAGCGGTCAAGTCAAATAATAATTGAAGTTTTTCTATAAAGATCTACTACCAGCTGTTGCCAGACATATTACTGGAAACAAACTTTATGTTTCAAGTCACTTATCAGATAATACTGTATGCCATTATTTATTATAACAATACATACAATAGCTGCACTTTAGGATGCAGAAAACCCCACAGATCTGGCATGCCAGTAAAATCAAATATGAATTATTACTGCATATATAATTTCTTTACATAGAACTCTAAATTCATGACTTAATATTTTAACAATAATACACACAATAGCTCTATTCAAAATTCATACACTAAAAAATTATGACTGTGTATTGTCGAAGGCTTTCATGGCCAGAATACGATGGCTGATGTGGGTCTTCCGGG